CCCTTAAACAAGTTTTCAAAACTACTATATTTATAAATTATAGGAGTTTTCAAAATTACTATATGCAAAATAATAGAAGTTTTGAAAACACCCGAAATATTAAATATAGGGATTTTCAAAATTTTTTATTTTCTCTTCCAACTAGACAATTATAAGATTTTTCAAAACTCCTATAATTGGTAATTTAGGAATTTTGAAAACTTTTTCATATAAAGTGCTTATGAAAACCTTATATATTTTTATTATAGGAGTTTTGATAACTTCTATGCCTTTAAATTTTAATTCTTAAACGACCGTATTCCAAGTTTTTTGTATGATGTGTTTGTTTTTTAAGCAAATTTTTTCTTCAAATATCCATTTTCCAAGTATTATCTTTTTTACTAAATTATTTTATAGTTTTATATAATATTTTATTTTATATTATTTGTAGACAATATATTGTTTCATATTGTATATAAAATAAACAATTAATACCAAAATAAGCAATATATAAAAGTAATATTATAAAAAATCCACATAAATGCATTATACATTTAAATAATACAATAAATATAAACTTAGAAATAATATCAAAATAAACAATAAAATATTACAAAATACAATGCACAAACACTAATCAACTAACTTATTAAAACTAATGTCAAAATAAATATCATATAAAAATAATATTGTAATCAAATAAAAAATATACATTATATATATATAAATAAAAAGCTTACTAACAATATAAAACAAAATACTGTATAAAGAGTATAAAATAATTTAGTCAAAAAAATAATACCTCGACATAGGATTTTTTTTAAAAGAAATTTTACTTAAGAAATGAAAGACATGTCACATACAAATATTTGAAATACAACAAAATTATTTTAAAAAGTTTAAAGGGTAAATTATATAAAAATCCGTTGTTATTTTAGTTAAAATGCATAAAATAGTTCTAATTTTATTTATTGCGTCAAACTTCCTTGTATTAATATATAAAATTTGCGCGAAACACCATTTTCACCCAAAACTGATATTTGATTGTAAATATGAACTCAATAATACAAGTTTTATACAAATAAAAACGATAAAATATTTTAAATATTTTTTAAATAAAATAAATATATAAATAATTCATTAATATAAAAATAAATAATTGATCAATTATTCATTTATTTATTTTATTCAAAAAAATTATTTAAGATATTTTAGGTATTTTATTTGTATAAAACTTGCATAATTTAGGTTTTTATTTAGAAATTTGGGTAAGTCGAGTGTTTTGTACAAATTTTAAATTAAACACAAGAGGATTTCACGTAATAAATAAAATACCGAATGTTTTGTGCATTTTTATTAAAAATACAAGAAAGTGTTATATAATTTACCCAAATTAAAATTAAAATTAAAAGTGTAGGATTTCTCAAAACTCCTATAATTAAAAATACAACAGTTTCTAGAACTATTTTAAATTAAAAAAATTTATGTTACTGAAAGATAAAGTAAAAATAAAAATTTTGAAAACTCATATTTTTAATATTTTAAATATTCTTAAAATTTTTATATTTTTATATTTAAGAGTTTTGAAAATACTTACACTTTTATAAATATAATAGTTTTCAAAACTCTTTTCAAACTAGATCTTTAAAACAATATTTGACTTTGTCATTTTTTTTTTTTTGAAGCAAACCTGAATTCCCTCCTCTTACCACTGGTCCACGTGGCGTGGCGCTACACCGCTGCAAATATTGAAACCTCCTGAAGACCTGTGCTTCGGCCTGCCTGGATCCAGCCCAAATGAGGGGTTTTTTGTTCACTAACCGAAAAAAGAAATAATAATATATATATTAATAAATAATATATTATTCCTCCGTTCTAATATAATAATCTTATTTATTATTTTTATTCGTTTTAAAATAATAGTCTAATTTATATAAATAATCATATCATTATAAAACCACCTTTATTTTTTCATTATTATTACATAATTGTTACTATTTTTTACACTAATACACTCACAAGGACAAAAAAGTCTTTTATCTATACTTTTTACACACTACAAATATAATATCAATATTCCTTAAATCTCGTGTCAAATATTACTCAGGCTATAGTTTTGGGATGGAGGGAGTTATAATTTTGATTATTTGTATTTGATTGTATATGTAAAATAAATATTAATAAATAAAAATTTAATTTCTTCAGTTTTAAATCGAATTAGTTTGGTTCGATTTATTTGATTTTGAAAAAATTTGATTCGAGTTTAATTTCAATTGTTATAAATCGAAAACTAATTAAAATTAAAATTTGATTTTTCCGATTAAAAAAAATATACCCTTCGTCTAATTGAAAGGTTGTCATTTTTTTATTTTTGTTTGTCTCCAAACAAGGTTATCATTTCCTAATTTAATAATTGTACTATTTACCTAATATAATAAATATCCTTCCAACTTACAATATATTACACAAATATCATTACTTTTATATTACACTATAATAGAGGTATTTTTGTTTTTTTTTTACTACAATTCAATATAATATTAATATTAAAAAAATCTACGTGCAAAAAGCAAACGCCACTCCTTTCACTTGGGGAGAGAGAGAGAGAGGGGGAGTAATAAAATTGAAGATTATCCTCTCTCTCTTGGGGAAGGTTTGCCCCAGTGCCACGCAATATGCATCAGATTGAATAGAGAAAATAAAATAAAGTATGTTAAATATTACTCCATCCGACCTACATAATTTGTCCATTTCATTTTTGAAAATATAATTATACACTTTAATCTCATTTTAAATTTTAAATTTTATAATTTCTTTAATTTTAATTAAACTATTTAGTTATCTTAATCTTAATTTACAATTATTTTTACTATAGAATAATTATTTTTAATAATACACTTTTTAATTACTTACTAATTATATTTTACCTAAATTCTCGTATTTACAGCAACACGTCCTATATATAATATAGGAGGAGGGAGTAGTTGATAGTTAAATTGAAACTAATTTGAACAATTAAACACTAATTCGAATTGTGTAAGTAAAAGAAAGTAGTTTAAATTACTTAAGAAATGAATGTTGATAGTAAGATGGAGGCTACTTTTGAATTATTAAAGCAATATGCATTATATATCAAATAGTTGAAATAAAATAAATTATTTGAAACATAGATGTTGATAGTCATATTGAGATTACTTTTGAACTATTAAACATCAAATAGTTGAAATAAAATAAATTACTTGAAACATGGATGTTGATAGTCATATTGAGATTACTTTTGAACTATCAAACACAACATGGGCAATAAATAATCTAACATATATTTATATATATCTCAATATATTTATATTTTATCTTATAACATATATATTGTACTAATTTATTAGTATATGTTGGTAACCAATATAATATATGCTGATTTCATCAAATAAGTATCATACGGAGTTGGTCGGATCAACACAAAATTTGCTGCCAAGCAATATGTACTCCCTCCGCTCTAAGGAATTTGGGTGTGCTACTGTAGATACGAGAATTTAGGTAAAATATGATTAGTAAGTAATTAAGAAGTGTATTAGTAAAAATAATTATTGTATAAAAATAATTATAAATTAAGATTAAGATAACTAAACACGTTAATTTAGATAAAAAAAATAATAAAATTTAAAGTTTAAAATATAATTAAAGTGTATAATTATATTTCCAAAAAAGAAAATGACAAATTATATGAGACGGACGAAAATAAAAAATAATGACAAATTACGTAGGACGGAAGAAGTATTATATAGGTCGAATAGTGGAAATAAAATAATGAATTTTAAATATTCTAACATTCAACCTGTAAAACGTTGGTGAGGTTTATGATAAGATTTAAACCAGTAACTTTAGTGTCATTACACATCATACCGCACTAGTGGACAATATTTAATTATTGTACTATATATCTTATTTAGCAATTACAAATATTGAAGGTGTATTTACTTAGTATATAATCCCTCCGTCCATAAAATAAGTATACATTTACTTTTGCGCGGAGATTAAGGAATAATAGAATTTTAATTATAATGGGTAGGTAAAAGTAGTGAAATAATATTTTTGCCTTTACTTTTTTGGTATAAAAGTAATGATGTGATGTAAAGTAGAGATATTTATATAAAAAAAATGGAGTATTTAATTAAATGGTTACTTTGTAATTGGACGTCCCAAAATAGAAACATATATACTTTTTAACTGGACGGAGGGAGTATATATTGTTTTTATTTTTGTTCTTATTTTTAAGTAAACATATAGTTCAATATAATAATAAAGAAAAGTACTCTCTTTCGTTTGTCTTTAACGATACATTTATTTTTGGGTCATTGTATTTAATATTAAAAATATTTTTATATTTGTATAATTTTTTATACAAATATCTTTGTATTAGTATTATACGACACTAATAGAAATATTTTGTCATTTTTTCTTAATTTGTGTTATATTTTGATATAATATTTAATATTTAAAAATTAATATGAAAAATGTAAATATCGACCTTAGAACTGGACAGATGTGGTAATATTTTGGTATAGGATATTCCTTTCATTCTTGTAAAAGATACTTATTTGATCTTTACAAGTGGATTTATTTATATTAATTTTTAAAGATATGCAGGTGTAAAGTTTTTATTTTTATTATCTTGGATATTAATGGTATTGAAAGAATAATAAAAAAAAAAAGTAAAAGTATTTTAATATTTAAGTGAGATATATTTTTATTTTAAATATATATATACATACTTTTTCAAGGAAAAGACGAAAACACCAAAATAGATAATTTTGACTTGAGTAGAAAAAAGTATAATACAGTGATCACATCTTGAATAAATCAATGTGTGGCTAATGCTAGTGACTTAAATTAATAAATTATGTATATAATTGTTGACTGAAATATTTTTGTATATATTAGTGACTAAAGTCATCGATAATTAAAGTTGAGACGCATTTTTTGTTTTGTTATTTCTTCTTCATCTTTTACTACTCCATTATTGTATTTGTTGTTGCTTCATATTCTCGTTTTTAGATCTATTTCGGCCTAAGCTTCCATTCCCGGTGATCCCTTTAACCGTTACGATTCCTACAGGTGATCCATTTTTATTTTTATTTTTATTTTCAGCACCATGCTGAATGCTTATATTAGATATCTAATGACATGACATTATTTTATGATATCTAAACTCTGTGTTATGTACCAAATATGTTAATATTAAATATATATATATATTGATCTAAAAGGGTCTATTCAATTGAGATTTTAATGGATTTTTTTTTATTTTAAAAAGTCTATGGATTTACGTGAATTTATAAAATCCACAGAGTTTACATTGAGTTTGATGGATTCTAGTAATTGATTTAGATGGATTTCTACGGATTTGATTGAATTTTATATGGATTTATATGGATTTTGTAGAATTATAAAATAATTTTTTTATGAATATATATTAATTATATAAATTTATATCAAACAAATTTTTTTATAAATATAATAAATAATTATTAATAAAATAATATTTAATATTAATAAATAATATATAAGTATTAATAATATAGAAGTATTGTAACATCTGTAATACTACTGTATTCTAGATTATTAATTTTAATTTTATAATTTTAGTATTATATTATCATTCAATATATCAAATTAGTTTTATATATTTTTATTAGTTATTATTATTATTTATATAACTTTTTTACATAAAAAGTAAATACGTATATAAATAAAATAAAAAATATAATTTACGATTTTTGAAAAAAATACTAAAATAAATAAATAAATATAAATTAACAGTTCAAAAAAAATATATATTTAAATATCTATTTCATCGTTATCGTAATATTAATATAGTATATTCGATAATTGAAAAGAAAAGACGACCATAATACATGTTTATGTGATAATAATATTTTTTAAAATTATATTTATAATATAAAAATATATATTTAAAAAAAATCATAATAATTTACTAATATTCATTTATTCATTTATTTAATTACTAATTTCATTTTTTTACATATTTAATTAAAATAGTCATATGTGTTGGAATGTAAATAGAAAGAAAGAATAACATGTGATTTACGATCATATTTTAGGTGGTGTTTGGCATAGAAAAATAGAAATGTCTTTATTTTTCATATTTGATAGAGACAATTGATTCTATTATCTAGATTAATTTCTCTTGCTATATAGAGAGAGATAATGAAAAATAAAATTAAAAAAATGCAATATGTTTATGTGTTTATGTATTTTATTTTTTATATTTAATTATTATGATTTAATTTGTGTTTATCTGATTTTTTTTTTCTATTATTATTATTATTTAAAATTTTATAATTTTTATATTATTCAAATGTCATATCTAAATTATTATTAAAATGAATTATCAAACTAAAAACATAACTTAAAAAAAAAATGATCAAGTGAAGGAACCCAAAAAAATTACCATGTTCTGTAAAATTCCGATCTACATAGATCAGATTGGAAATCACACCTATTGATTGGATAACTTCCTAAAAATTTCTGCTCGAAAATGAAACAAAAACCCACACAATTTTGGACCGAAATTTCTTTCTCACCCTTATCTCCCATAATATTTGATTAACGTGCATTTTCAATAATTTAGGATTATTATCAAGGAATTCAAAACAACTTTGTTGGAAATTATTATATACAAGATCCACATAAGATTTCTATTGAATGAGCATGCGTTTCTACGAAGGTACTTTATGTCTGTTGTGTTGAATGCAGATAGCAAAATGCTTTGGACAATTGCAGGACCTTTTCTTTTCAAGATGGGGGAGAAACTGGCAGATTATGCACAAGGCACTGTGATGGCGATGACAAACTACAATATAATATTAGAATCTCTACAAAGGAACTTGAAATCGTTGAGTGATAAAGCATTTGATGTTGAGAAGGAGGTCAAGAATGGTGAGCAATCAGGTGTGAAGAAAAGGAAGCGTGAAGTTGAGAGCTGGTTGGCAGAGGTGCAGAAACTTGAAATGGAATTCACAGAATTTAGGGTTTCTATGAATTCTGATGAATTCACTAGTTGGTTCTTTAGGGGAGATCAAGCCCAGAAGTTGAGTATAAGAGTAGAGGGATTAGTTGAGCAGAGTCGACATTTTGGTGAACTGCTTTATGCATGTGAACCCGAGCAAGTTCCGCTCTTGACAAAGAAGATGGTGGGCAAAAAGTTTGAGGAGAACTTCGAGAGGATTTGGAATTTGTTAGTGAATGATGGAGTGTCAAGCATTGGGATTCATGGCATGGGCGGAGTCGGTAAGACAACACTGACGAAGCACATTTACAATCGATTTGTTCAAGGAGCTCAACATGTTGTTATTTGGGTAACAGTATCTCAGATATTCAGGATTAAAAACTTGCAGGATGAAGTTGCCAAGGCAATGCATCTAGATATTTCGGAGGAGCCGAATGAAGACAAAAGAGCTGCGATGCTGAATCGAGTACTATCAAGAAAAGGGAAAGTTTTGTTGATATTTGATGATGTATGGGAAAAATTCAATCTCGAAAAGATTGGAGATCCACTTTCTTTTTCGGAGTGTAGACTAATCATAACATCCCGTTCGTCGGAAGTGTGTCATCAAATTGGTTGTCAACAAGTTATTCCATTGGTAACACTCAATAAGAGTGAAGCTTTGAGTTTATTTACAAAAACTCTTGGTGAAGGGATTACGCTAACTTCCCAAGTACAAGAGCTTGTAAAGCTTATGGCAGAGCAGTGCGACGGATTGCCATTGGGAATAATCACAGCAGCCGGAAGTATGAAGGGTAAGTCGGGCATTCGAGAGTGGAGAATTGCAGTGAAAGACCTAAAAGAATCAATTCTGAGAGAAGATGGAGCTGATGATGGAGTTTTCAAAATACTCAAGTATAGTTTCGATCGGTTGGATCAGGGAGAAGAGAAGTTTAATGGATTTACAATTCTACAACATTGTTTCTTGAATTGTTGTTTGTATCCCGAAGATTCAGAAATAAGTAAAGAAGAATTGATCGAGCTACTCGTTTCAGAGGGGTTGTTGAGTAAAAGGAGTAGTAGAAGAGAAAGGGTGGATTGGGGTCATGTCATATTGAATAAACTAGTGAATGTGTGTTTGTTAGAGAGTGATGGAATGTGGTGGGTGAAGATGCACGATTTAGTGAGAGCCATGGCATTAAAGATCACAAAGAATAAATATTTGAGAATCGACAGGCGAAGTTTCGTGGTTGAGGGAGAAGAATGGAGTAGAGATCTCGAGAAGGTTTCTTTGATGAGGAATGACATCGAACATATACCTCCCGGATTGTCTCCAAAATGTCCCAAGCTCTCAACATTGCTCTTGCAGTACAATTTGCTTTTTGGGCGTATACCGGCTTCATTTATCTTGAAGATGCATGGTTTACATGTTCTTAATTTGAATAAGACTGCAATTAAAGCATTACCGGATTCTTTATCGAATTTGAGGAGCATGAGATCCCTTCTCCTAAGGGGTTGCAACAATCTTAAATATATTCCGGACTTGGGAAATCTCGAAGAGCTAAGAGAGTTGGACATTTCAGGGACTCGAATCAATGAATTGCCTCTAGGAATGCGAAAACTAGTCAATCTCGAATGCTTGAAGATTTCTGCCAAAAACTTGAAGATATTACCAAGCAATATATTGCTGAATTTCCGAAAACTTCAATGCCTCCATCTTCCATTTCATATTGAAGCACCAATGAAAGAAATTGAGAAGTTAGAACAGCTCGAGGAGTTTGAAGGACGAGTAAAAGATGCGGATGATTTTGGTCGATTGATGGTATGCCTACCAAAATTCAAGGAGTACAATCGATCTTATGGTGTTGTTGTGGGAGAATTTCTAGGCCAGCCGCAAAGAACACCATATGGTGATAATGAAGTGGTTGTGAATGGGATGAGGCTAAATGGAAAAGGGAGAAGAGAAGTTCTTGCATGGCCACACGACATAAAAGGCGTTGGATTTGGAAAGTGCGAGGGACTAAGCAAATGTTTGATCGATGACATTCAAGGATTAAGTATCGATATCAAATCATGCAAACTTTTAACAATATACGAATGCGAAGGGATAGAGTGTATTTTGAAATTGGAGGAGAAGTTTCCATTAGATCTTCCATTGCAAAATTTGGAATTTATGAAGTTGGAGAAGTTGCCTGATCTGATGGGCGTGGTGATGTTTCGAAGTGCATCTCCACCATTGTTGTCGTCTCTTCAGGAGCTGTATATTCATGAATGCAACAAGATGAAGAACCTGGGGTTGCCACTATCACTCTTGGGGGGTTTACAAAGCCTTGAAGTGATGAGTGTCGAAAGATGTGAAGAAATAGAAGAGATATTTGAAGCTGGAAATCGTGCATCATCATCATCTCAAAGACTCCATCTCCCAAAATTGAAGGAACTACATCTCAAGCAGCTCCCAAAATTGAAGAGCATCTGCAACTCGACACTGCTCTGCAGTTCCACTCAAGAAATCTCGATAAAAGGATGCACACAAGTGAAGAAGCTACCATTGCTATTTGGAGAAGCAGCAAAGTGTGATTATAGTTATGATTCTCCTCTTCCACCTGCCTCTCAGAAGTTTCAAATCCGAATTCGGAGATCAGAGAAGGACTGGTGGGAGTCTTTGGAGTTGGAGCATCCCTCACTTCATCCCCTCCTCCAACCCTTTCTTGAGCTGCATTAATGTTTTGATTCCTCACCTGTTCTGTTGTCTATTAATATTAACATTGTTGTTGATTGTTTCTGTTTATTTATTAATTACAGATTTGTTTTGATGCAACTTTTGTTGCTATGTTATGTTCCGTATGTTTTTCCGTGACTTTAACCCTAATTTTCTTCATGCCAATACACATTAAAGCAAGAACTACATTGGCGATGTTCGTCCTTTGCAGTTCGTGAATAGTATTATCCTCTAGTTCGTTATAATAATTGTATGCAGTGATACAAGCGAAAACATTTTCCAGGACCAGTTCTTCAAGATCGGCCGGCTCGTTAATTAGCTGAAGCTTTCGAAATTGGAGTGAACAGTAATGATTTCATTCCAGTCATAGGATTATATGACTCCATCTTAGAGAAACCTGGATCCATTCCACTACATAATTTATATAATTGTATTTGTTAGAAAATTATTATACCGCTACAATATTAAAACAATTATCAGAAAAATGATCCGATAATTATGTCTAGTCGGAGATAAAACCTCTCTTCGTAAAATGAATACACTCCGGTAGTACATCCAGTGTCCAAAGATAAAACGACGTTCGTCTCCAAGGGTGTGACTTCACCGTGGCTGTGGGATGGTACGAGTCATGACAACATGTTATTGTTACTGTAGGCTATTTAGAGAGTGTAGTTTTGTTCTTACATCGGTGCTTTTTAAAATTTGGTAAGGGAATATTGGGGTACAAAGTCAAATTCCATATTGAAATATTAAAAGAAGAACTCACATTTTATAAGTTATGAGTTTTATATCAATTCTACTAGTACGAGACCTTTTGGAGAAAGTTTTAAAACAAATCTATATGTGCTCGGCACTAGTCGATTTGCCCAAGTTTTAACAGGGAAACAAATTTTATTGTTGAGTAATTGCAAAGCTGGAATACTAGTTATAGTACCCTCATATTTTATTCATTTATATCACATAATATAATTTATTCCGAATTAGTAAATTTTTTTCATGAAGGTTAAATATTGATAGTACTTAATATTCTATTAAGGTACATGTAGCATTTGCATCGACCGTTAGAGAAAATACTTTACTTCAGGTCTGTTTCATCTGTAAAAATGAAAACATGTTATTCTTTATCAGCCCCCAACAAGATATGCATCAAGTAGACTTTTATGTTGATTCGGACAAACAAAAATATTCGATTTCTTGTCGGAAAGACATTAATAATGATTCCACATAGGACAATCTTTATACAAATTTAATTGAAGAAGCAGCATCAATTCTGCATTCACATTAGGTGTTGTTATGTGTGTTGAAATTGAGCATAAATCCAGATCACCATAAAAGGACGAATGAAACGTTAAGACGACTGACACACACAGGCAAATGCGTAAGACCATCCGCATTAAATAAACGAAGTAAAAGGTTCACTCTACTTTTACGTCATCATCTCTTTCTTCTACCTCAACAAAATGTTACATATATATTTGTTGGATCTCAAGTCCAAATGACTCAACGCTGAAGGCAACAGCTTCCGCTGCAGCGCTTCCACAGAGCAAGAGAGTGTAGCTTCAATAGGCCTTTAGACAACAAGCTCTATCAACCATGGGTTGGCAACTTCGTAACATTAATGGAAGACCCTGGCACCTACATGTCTTACATGGAAGGTTCTATGGGTCAAAACAAAAGAAAAAAGAAGGAGGATTCTATGTAACTCGAGGTTGTTGGGGACATATCCTCGTAGACCGGCTAGGAGTATGATGAAAGCAAGTTAGGGTAAGTTTCAGATCTGATCCGGAAACAATGGAAGAAGTTCAGAGCAAATGAAACCCGGTCCAGAGGCAATGGAAGCGGTTGGGAGCTGATGGAAGGAGATTACATGGTGGTTGAGAGAGGTGCGTGAATAATTAGAACTGCCCATTTTAGTGGAAGAGATGGTTATTCTAGCTTAGGATTAAAATTAGGAAAAAACACAACACACACACGCACAAGAAGATGAACTCGCATATTTCTTTACTTTTTCGTAGTTTTTAGTTTCCATTTATGCATTTTAATTCGAATTACTTTCCTTTATGCTTCTTGCAATATGTTTTTATCTGCATTCCAGTAGATTTATCCGAGTTTTAGTAGATTTTAGATTAAATCCATCAAAATCGGTCATTTAGGCTCGAAGCCGTGCAGGCTCCACCGAAGGAGTCGCCTCCAATCCGACGACGGACAGGCTCTTTGGAGTACTTCCGGAACCCACACCGACGACATCGACGAATTATTTTGGAACTTCCGAATTTCAAGTTCCAACAATTGGCACGCCAAGTGGGACCAAGTCAGGTTCGTATATGCAACTTCGTAGTAGTAAGGTGATCACCATGGAAAATCAGAATCGGAGCTCAGGTCTGAACATAGGTGCAGGAAACACTGGAATTGAAACACCGGTTCACCCAGAGCAAGAGGTTGTAGCTTCCACAGACCTTTAGACAACAAGCTCCATTAACCCTGGGTTAGCAACTTCGTAACATTAATGGAAGACTTGACACCTACATGTCCTATATGGAAGGTTCTATGAGTCAAAGCAAAAGAAAGAAGAAGGAGGATTCCATGTAAGTCGAGGTTGTTGGGGACATATCCCTGTAGACCAGCTAGGAGTATGATGGAGGCAAGTCAGGTTAAGTTGCAGGTCTGATCCGGAGGTAATGGAAGAAGTTCAGAGCAAATGGAATCCGGTCCATAAACACCGGAAGATTTCAAAACGAATGGATACCGGTCCAGAGGCAATGGAAGCGGTTAGAAGCTGATGGAAGGAGGTTACCTGGCGGTTGAAAGAGGTAAAGGAATAATTTGAACTTCCCCTTTTAGTGGAAGAGGTGGTTATTCTAGTTTAAGATTAAAATTAGGAAAAAACACAACACACACAGGCACAAGAAGATGAACTCGCATATTTCTTTACTTTTTCGTAGTTTTTAGTTTCCATTTATGCATTTTAATTCGAATTACTTCCCTTTATACTTCTTGCAATATGTTTTTATCCGTTTTCCAGTAGATTTATCCGAGTTTTAGTAGATTTTAGATTAAATCCATCAAAATCGGTCATTTAGGCTCGAAGCCGTGCAGGCTCCACCGAAGGAGTCGCCTCCAATCCGACGACGGACATGCTTTTTGGAGTACTTTCGGAACCCACACCGACGAATCGATGAATTGTCTTGGAACTTCCGAATTTTGGGTTCCAACAATATTTATTTTTATTTTAATATAATATGAAAATAAAATTTTATATAATACAAAAATAAAAAAAAAACCAAAAAATAAATTCAATTGTTATAAATAAATACAAAATAAAAAATGGGAAAGTATTGTTCTTGTTGTGGGGTTCTCCATTTGTAAATTGGCTTAATATGCAGAGAAGAAAATTTGGGGCTGATGGTTCTTGTCTTCTTATGTCCATATTTATTTAATTGATTGTTGTTAGACACAGATCAAAATCTAATTGGTTGGTGTCATATTTTTTTGTTCTTGCTACGGTGTTCCCAATTATTTGGTTAATATTATCATGGTGATTAATATCTAGAAATATATCATCTCGAAGACAATTGTACTGTTTGTTGGTAATTTTGTTTGGTTGTTTAAAAATTTGTTTTGTTGAGGCGCATTTTGTACATGGAGTCTCAATTTGATTTAGTGGAATATTTGACGCTTCTACTCTTGAATATAAGTATTCATCTCAAACGGCATAAATATTGGAATTTTAGCGTATTCTTGATATAACTTATGATGTGTTTATGTGTTTAAATGTAATTTATTATATGAGTCTAATGTAAAATGATAATGAGATAGAATTTATATGGAGAGAACAAGTGTCTCATTGTCAAAAATTGAATTTTTGTATTATCCGCTACATATTTCATGTAATCCGAGGCAAGTAAGGGTTGAAATATTGTATTCGGAAAGTGAACTCTATAGGATACAAAGATCTTTCTGGCCATATTCGTTGAAGACCCTGGTTCTCGTATCCAGTACCAACAATCAAAGTTTTCTATAGATATGCTAGCAAAAAGGACATCTTTAGTTTAGAAAGGCAACAACTCTGAAGGATATTAGGTTCTGCCGATGCCTGTCGGGCTTAGTTTGTAGGGTATTAGGTTTGACCGGGAGTTTACTCACTGCGCACTTTCGGATAGCGATTGCGGGTTCCCACATCATTTTTTTTTTTTAAAAAAAGTCGCCCTATTCTACGGAGAACGGAACATTTGAAGAAGACAATTCCATATTATTTTGACACCAACAAAAGCACTTAAAAAGAAAAAGAAAAATATAAGCGGACAATCGACACCCTCTTGGTCTTACCTATTACATAGGATTTGCCTAGTGTCTATAAATGGTGATGTAGGTAGGTTGTCTGGTTGTGTCATTACCCAGTAAAATTAGAATAGTATTCACATCATCGACAATATAGTTGCTAAGATCAAATTTGAATATTTGTTGCAAACTAAGGATACAAATATTCATCAATTTATTTCATTTTAATATCTGATTTTTCCAAAAAAAGGTAATAATTTACGTTCTTTATGTGAAAATGATTACAAGTCAGTGTTCTAACACGTATCATTTCGTAACTTTAGATTTTGTTCTCTTTATGGTATTTTTTATTATTTTTTATCCATATTTCGTTATTAACTCTTACAAAATTTCAAATCAAACTATAATTTAAATTTAAAGCATAAAATACAACAAAGAAGAAGAAGAAAAAAAAAATATCACAACCAAACACCCCTAGATTTTTCAGAAACATTATCGTTGTTTTAAAGTTTTTTTCTTTTTTTGGATTTTAATAATTTTAGTGTGAAATCGCAATTAGGTGCGATTCGGGTTTTGGTGATTTTTTTAATGAAAAATAAATATTTGCTTGTGATTTTTAAAGAAAAATGACTATTTAATATGATTTTTTTTCTTTCTAAAAATAAAAATAGGGGGATTGCGATTTTTTTTAAAAAAATAAAAATAAAATCAAACACAATAAAAATTAATTTTAGGTGCAATTTTTGTTAGGTTTGATCTTTTATATGAAATTTAATTATATGTTTAATGGAACTTGTGACATTGTATAGTAAATAAATCCAATAATAAACAAACAAACATTTGAATTCCAATATTAGTATTAATAATTAAATTTTGGATAGAAAATTACTTTCTTAGGTCCAATGGTGTATAATCTTGCTAGTTTCAAGACCAATGCTATTAATTTTTTTTTTTTTTTTTTATCTTAGTCATCAAAATTATATTATACAGCAATTATAGTTATTTTGAATCGGAAGTTCTAAAGTAGATTTAAAATGAGTTGTTTTATATCAAATTTAAAGATCATTATTGTTGAGATATTTTAGATATTCGGTTTTAGATTTACTATATTTATATTTAGATTTGATCTTATCTATTAATTAGATTACTTAAATTTGAGTCTATCGAGTCTGTTTTGTATTGCCTATATATATATAGACCTTTTATTGTGAAGATAAATAAGACAATCTCATTATTTTTCCTCAAAATTTCTAACATGGTATCACACCCTATTTTTCTCATGCCGTAGATATATTCTACCGACCCGTGTTTCTCCGGGTATATTCAACCTGGATTGTACCCGGAGGTCTTGTGATTTTGAGATCACGTCTTTGCAAGTCTGCCAGTTGTCTGTCTGGTCTTGCGTGCAATTTGAAATTTGCAGATTTGTCTGCAATCTGCATATGAAATCTACTGAGATCTGTCTGCTATCTACCATATGTCGACTGTCTGTCTATTGCTTGCGTGCGATCTGCCATCTTTCTTGCTTGTTTGTTGCCGAAAATCTGTCTACAATCTGTCATATGTCCGCTGCTTGTTGTTGCCTGCGTGCGATCTGTTTGGTATTGCATCTATCTGTTTTCAGCTCCAGTGGAGTCCTGTCGTTTTCGGCTCCGGTGGAGAGTCATCTTATTTTCGACTCCGGTGGAGAGTCATCTTATTTTCGGCTCCGGTGGAGTCATGTCGTTTTCGGCTCCGGTGGAAAGTCATCTTGTTTTCAGCTCGGTGGAGTCATGTCGTTTTCGGCTCCGGTGGAGTCATCTAATTTTCGACTTCGGTGGAGAGTCATCTTGTTTTCGGCTCCGGTGGAGTCATGTCGTTTTCGGCTCCGGTGGAGTCATGTCGTTTTCGGCTCCGGTAGAGAGTCATCTTGTTTTCAGCTCCGGTGGAGTCATGTCGTTTTCGGCTCCGGTGGAGTCATCTAATTTTCGACTCCGGTGGAGAGTCATCTTGTTTTCGGCTCCGGTGGAGTCATGTCGTTTTCGGCTCCGGTGGAGTTATCTCATTTTCGACTCCGGTGGAGTCATGTGGTTTTCGGCTCTGGTGGAGTCATCTCTTTTTCGGCTTCGGTGGAGTCATCTCGTTTTTTCTTTGCTCCGATGGAATCATGTGATTTTAGGCTGTGGTGGAGTTATCTCGTTTTTGGCCATTTCGCTTTCGGCTCCGGTGGAGTCATCTTATTTTCAGCTCTAGTGGAGTCATCGGCTCCGGTGGAGTCATCTCGTTTTCGGCTTAGGTGGAGAGTTATCTCCTTTTTCGCTCCGATGGAGAGTCATCTCATTTTCGGCTCCAGTGGAGTCATCTCATTTTTTGCTCCGGTGTGGAAAGTCATCTGGTTTTCGGCTCCGATGGAGAGTAAACTATTATTTTTACTTGTGTTTTTGTTTTGCGTCTATATTGAACTTTCTTATCAAACTCAAATTGGTTTATGTTATACCACTTGAGTTTGAGAGGATGTTGAGATATTTTAGATATTCGGTTTTAGAATTAGTAGATTTTTATTTAGATTTGATCTTATCCATAGATTAGATTGCTTAGATTTGAGTCTATCGAGTCTGTTTCTATTGACTATATAGACCTCTTATTTTGAAGATCAATAAGACAATTTCATTATTTTCCCCCAAAATTTCTAACAATTATAAAAGCCAAACAAATTCCCAAACTCAAACAATGTTTATAAATTGAGGAATTTAAAATAAAAAAGGCACACACAAAATAAGACTTCGATGAAATTGATTTACGTCCGGGGTGAGTTGTTTTGTGCTCTAGTATGTCGGAGTCATATAATGTTGTTCGCATAAAAAAATAATGAGTCAAGGATGGGTTAATTTGTGCTTTTGTTTTGATTTTTTATTTAAATAATATAATAATTTCATAAAATATTTTTATTAAAGGGAGTAATATATTTATTAAGACAAGACAAATGAGCAAAGCCTTAAACATATATCAACCAGCAGCAATATGCAAAATCTAACAATTTCAGGGTCACCTACCACACATGTTCGCCTAGTGTGACTTATCTGTTGGAGTTAGTTTGCAAGATATTAGATTCGGCAAAGGGTTTATCCAGTGTGCAGTTTCGAGTAACGGCTGTCGATTTCCCCGTCATAAAAAAAGTAAATAAATAAATTTCCACAATAAAATACATTGCCCAAGGTTCAAACGGAAATGGAATAGCAAACAAAATAAAACTAAAAAAGATACACACAAGAAGAAACTCATTTGCCTCTAAGACCAGCACCAGAAATGGACATTGAAGTGCACATCCTCGAAGCATTCATGACATCCTTTGCCTCTGAAATTACACATTATAAACCACGGAATGACATGCATTTGCAAAATGAATAATTAGCAATAAATGTTAATTAAACACAAGAAGGATTAAATAAACTTCCATAACATAAATGCAATATATTTCAAAATAATAAAACAAATATGCACCTAAGTAATATTGAACACAAGTAACATGTGTATTACCTTTGAATTCAATTTCTTCGGAAACTCGCCAAGAAAATAGCTGTTTTGACATACGCCCAATCTCCAATACGATCGAAGAACATGAAATATGATATTCTCCATGATCTCTTCATCATCAACGACACCATTAGTCCCCAGAATCCGAAGACGAAACCAAGAGCCATTGATATGAACAAGTCTTGCATGACAGAGAAACTCATAAAACCATTCCTCCTTTCCTCATCACTTTCTCCGGGATTAGAGGCCGGTGGGCTCACGGCATCTCCGGGGCACAATGGAAGAGGACTCCCACAAAGTTGAGCATTTTCAGCATAGGAAGATTCATTGAAACTTTGGAGTTGAGTGCTTGTTGGAATTCTCCCCGACAAGTTGTTGTTCGACAAATTAAGAATCTGTAGAAAACTTAATTGCGCCAGACTTGTCGGTATTGCCCCGGAGAGGTGATTTCTTGAAAGATCAAGTGATTCAAGCATCTCCATATCACCAATATCTGTTGCTATGTTTCCTTCCAAAGCATTTCTTGACAGATTCAAAGAAACCAATCCCTTCAACTGAAAAAGTTCTCTTGGAATGCTTCCAGTTAATTTGTTGTCTGAAAAATCAATGAGCTTAAGAAGCCATAATATTCCCTCGTACAATGATTCCTTCCTTTTCCATTGAACTAACATATGTGGACTGTCCAAGTACATAAAACTGGTGTAGATTGGTGATGGGCCATACACACTATTGGTGTGAAGCAATGAAACAAAATTATTGAGACACTTAGGAACTTTTCCGGATAAATTGTTTTTAGACAAGTCCAAAACTTGTATCTGAGTAAGATTACATATTTCTTGAGGAATGTCGCTGTAGAATTTATTCTGGCGAAACTTTAGATACTTCAAATACGTATAGTTTGCGCCGTCCAACCATTCCGAGATAGTTCCAGTTAGATTATTCCCTGCTACATCAAGTAGCTCCAAATTATTGCAATGCTTTAAACTTGAAGGTAACTTTCCAGAGAAATCATTATCATTCAAATACAATTTCGAAACAATCTCTAAGAGCCCAAGTGATTCAGGAATTTCACCCGAAAAACTGTTGTTACCCAAGTTCAGAGATTGTATGTTATTGGTCATGTTTTCCCAGCAGTTGGGAGCCATCCCTACAAAAAGGTTGTCTGAAAGGTCTACCGTAACCAAACTACTCAATTTGCAAATCGATGAAATTGACCCTGAAAACTCATTATGTGAGAGCTTTAAAGATCTTGTATGATTTAGGAACTCAGGTAAAGGGCCATAAAAACGATTCCATCTAAGATCTATAGATCTAAGCTGTCCTGAAAAGAGATCAGGAATGGTGCCACTAATCTGGTTGTCGGGGATTGTTAAATCAGTTAGAGCAGTTGAAAAATTCCAAAACCAATTGGGCACTTGATCCGATATGCCACAGGACGACAGGCCAAGTCTCCATAGATCCTCTAAAACTTGAATCCATGGTGGGAATTTCGGACCAACATTGACACTACTTAAATACAAGTTATTCAAGTTGAGAGGTGGATTCCAAAAAGGGGATATGCTTAGTGCATCGTTGGAGGACAAATCCAACCATTTTAAATTGTCAAGCTTTGTAAAGGTAGTTTTAGAGAGAATTCCATCTAGGGAGTTATAGGAAATATGTAATTCTACAAGCTGCCGATGTTGCACGAAATCCGGTGGTAAACCACTGAGTTTATTGAATCTCAAGTCGAGCTCCTCTAATGCTTTGCAAGAAAGGTTCCCTGTTAATTCCATAAGCGGCTGTCCCAATTCATTGTAAGAAAGATCGAGCAATGTTAAATTACTCAGATTTTCCAATGATCCAGGAGCTACACGTTTAAGCTTGTTATGAGAAAGATCAAGGTGCTCAAGAAATGTCAAATTTCTAATCGAATGAGGAACTACACCATCCAATTGGTTTGCCGACAACTTCAAGTAAACAAGACTTCTGATGTTAGATAACCAGCCTAATGTCCGAAGGGTAAGATCATTACCTCCTAGATTAGCCGATGAAAGAGATGCAGAAGAAGAAGAAGAGTTCACAAACAAGTACTCTTCAGAATATGTTCCATCACTAAGATGACAATATGCCAAGAGCAGCTCCTTCAATGAACTAACCTTCAGTATTCGTTGAGGCCAATTGGCATCAGTGATGTTGTTGTCAGACAAATCAAGATGGGATAAAGAAGAGAGATTAGAGAGCCAATTGAGATCGTCTAACAATAATGAGTTGAATGAGAGATCGAGGTACACCAGGTTTGTGAGGTTCGAAAGATTTTGAGAAATTCTCCCAAACAAGCCACAGCCAGAAAGAGTTAGATATCTCAAATGACGTAACTGAAGTAAGGCTACGCTGATCTGACCTCGCAATCCGCGATTGCCGCCGTAGATATAAAGACTAATGACATGGCCAGTGGTTTTGCGACACCCAACTCCGTCCCAATTGCAACAGTCGTCACCTCTCCAGCTTGACAGATCACCATTGTCATCTGTAAGGCCTCTTTTGAATGCCAGAAGAGCTTCCCGTTCCTTGGGACTGCAGCTAATTACCTCTCCTGAAATTAAGATTACATCGGAATGAACGGACAGTAGTGTAATGAAGAAAATAAGGAGCAGATTAGTAACCATTTCTTCTTCCAATTCTTCTTCTTTTATTATGTATATATAATGGAATTGGAGTGTGTTTCTTACATTCGTCAAATGTAACCTATTTATAGACTAAAAATCAATACTAAAACATTACTATTTTTTTAGAGAAATATCAAATACTAGTCTCTTGTTATAATTGTGCTACTTTATTTAGTAGGTTGCCCTTATTATTATTATTTTTAAATAATTTTAGAAATTATATTTACAAGCTTAAGATTAAAGAAAAAAAAAATATACTATGCATAAGTAATAGAAAATTAAGAAAAGGAATTGTAGAAATTTTAAGATCTTCCCTCCTATGTAATTTAGTAATTTAGAAAGATAAAAGAAAAAACTATGTAATTGATGTTGAAAATCTATTCAAATTAAGATTTAAATCCTAACGAACCAAACAACTACTTATGAAATTATCAATTATATGGTACAATAAAATTTGGAGAAGAATAAATTTGGATAAGCTCCAAAATAAAAAGCTTGATGCACAATTTTTTGATAAAATAGCACAAACCTCATAATTTAATATATATAAATTTGGATAAGCTCCAAAATAAAAAGCTTGATCCACAATTTTTTGATAAAATAGCACAAACCTCATAATTTAATATATATATATATATATATATATATTTGCATATTCATTTTATATTTATATAGTTCAACATGTTAATAACACATTAATATATATGTAGAATGTCAAATGTATTACTTTAAAATTCTTTATGAAAATATTATATTTTACTTATAGATCGGTAGTATAAAAAATAATACTAACCCCGTCCCACATACCGTATCTGCTACACTGTAGACACGGTATTTTAGGAGTGGTGTAATTGGTAGATAATTAAAAATGTATTAGTGAAAATAATTATCCTATAATATAAATAATTATAAATTAAGATTAAGATAACTAATTAGTTTAATTAAAATTTAAAAAAATAAAAAATAAAAAGTTTAAAATGAGATTAAAGTGTGCAATCATTTTCAAAAAAATAAAGTGACATGGTATATAGGACGGACAGAAACGGCAACGTGGACATAGTACGTGGGACGAAGGGAGTAATATATGTTACTATTGACTTTTTGAGTGAATAGATTATATATTTGGTATAAATATTTGTATATATTATTTTTTTTTTTTTTGGGTAAAGTGATTTTTTAGCTCAATATTTGACCATTTTTTTTTTTTTTTTTTTTTTATCATTAGACTTCAACTTAACACTATTTGAAAATAGTTACATAAGTAAAATTTTTTCGCTAAAATAGTCCTCCGATATCGAACTTGCTACGCTGGCCAGCCGTTAGTGACATGGCCCTGACACGGCTGACATGTCATCGCCGCGTAAATGTCCTAAAAACGATAAAGGAGGTCATATACGAGACTAAAAAAATAGTTTAACAAAAAAATTTGTAAAAAAAAAAAAAAATTCATGTGTTGCTGACGTATTATCTACGTGGCGATAACATGTCAGCCGCGTCAGCAACGGCAGGCCAACGTGAGGAGTCCGACACCGGAGAACTATTTTAACAGAAAAAACTTACATACAGATTTATTTTCAGATAAAGTCCACTTAAAGTCGTAAAATAATAAAGAGGTCAGATATGATACTAAAAAACACATATAATTAATTTTCTTTTCACAAAAGCAAAAATAAATTAATAAAATCTACTAGGTATTCTAAATGTATAATATTAATTATTATAATAATTATTATTATTTTTATTATTATGAATGAAGTAGTAGATACTCAAAGAATTATTATATTACATATACACATTATGTAAAATTGCTTATAACTCCTATGTAGTTTCAAAATTCAGCGTAAAATCTCTCTGTACTTTAAAAATTGCATGGTACTCCTTATACTTTAAAAAACATTGCATGAAACCCCACCACCATGAAACTTTCCTCGTGTGATAAGAAGATGATTTCCTATCAATATGTTTTGCATGATATGGGGGTTTTATGCAATATTTTTTAAAGTATAAGTGAGCGTCATGCAATTTTTTAAAGTAAAATGGATATTTATGCTGAGTTTCGAAACTACAAAGTGGTTTCATGCAACATTTTTTAAAGTATAAGGAGACGTCATGCAATTTTTAAAGTAGAAGAGAAATTTACGCTGAGTTTCGAAAATACAAGAGAGTTATGGGCAATTTTGCCAAAAAAACGGCTATCTTTTAGATTTTTTCTTTTTGTTTAATATGATGAAGCCTTACCGGGCTTTGAATTTAATTATCTATCTATTAAATTATATTTAAACAAAAATAAGAATATGAAGCTTTATATACATAAATTTGGGAGGATGCTAGGAGTTTAAAATTTCTTTTTAGAATACTAAAAAATAAATATTTAACGTGAATGTTTTTTTTTTTTATTACAAATGAATAATATCAAAGTGATTTGAAAAAAATATATAAAAAAAATGTAAATAATATAATATTTATAATAAAAAATAATTGGGGTACATCAACACATTAGTATTTATGGTTGTATGTAAAAGTCTAGACGTGAAAGATGGGTAAGATTATTTGAATGGGTCTAACAAAACAAGTGGCTCATAATTAAATTATGTATTTCAATATTGGGTCCCAATGTGGAATATTGCAAGTTCGTAGACCATTGCTATCAAAGAAAATTATTTTTATCCCAAATTTATTTCATACAGCAGCTATATAGTTGAGCTAGTTTAAAACATTTTTTATTAGAAAAAATCGTATAAGATTGAAGGAAAGTCCGGAGAGAGCCGAATTTTACTGGGTAAAAATGAACTTGGATCGTGTAAAATCTTGATCCTTAAACGATATTTTGATCCCGTTAAAGCATCAAATTTTACATAATTTATGTAAGGATAAAATAAAATAACACTCAAAATTAGGTGAAAATTCGAACACAAAAAATGTTGGATGAAGTTTGTGCATGTACATATAGTTTTCCAGAAATTTGGAGAGTGTGCATTTCACACTCTGTATTTTATTTCTGTAAGTGATTGTATTATACATATTTTTCACTCTATCCATTTTTTAGAAGATAAGAATCGTATGTATATATATATTGAAAAATATTTTTTCAGAAAAGACGTTGAATTTGGAACTCAAAAGATTTTTTTTTTTTTCTAAAAACTAAGTATTTCTTGAAACGACAAAACTTCATGTTCATATAGGTAATTTCTTTAGTCTCGTCCCTGCACGAATATTTTTTAAATGAATTATTAATAGATGAAATGTCAACCTTACTTTCATGCAAGTCCGAACACTTACCTTGTAATGTAAATCCATGCGTTTCAACGTGAAGTGGATTTAGTTGAACTTTAATACGTACCGATTGATGACTTGTGCCCTAAATCTTTCATCAACCTCTTTGTTAAATTATCAACCAAATTACAGTATGACGGAATATAGACTACAATAATTACCCCATTTGTAATAAGCTCCCATATCATACTGTATCTCACAACCATATGTTGAGATTTGTCATTGTAGTTTTCACTATAAGCCTTAGATAGAGTAGCATCAATATCACAACGAAACATAGATAATACAAAGCTATTATGCTTAATTAAATCTCATAAACTAAATTACGAAGCTATTATGCTTCCTTACCGGCCACGGCTAATGCACTAAATATAGATTTCATCTTATTTTCTTTTAATTTTAATTTTGAGATCCATGTCTACCTCTCCGTGTCTTTCATAGATCTTAGTAGATAAAAATATTTTAGGGTGTGTTTCTTTAGGGGAGTTTGGGGAAATTTGGGTTTGGGTTTGATTTTTATTTGAATTTTGTTATTTTTTTTGTGTTTGGGTTTGATTGGAGTTTGAGGAGTTTTGATGAGTATTGATTTGATGGATAATGAATAAAATAATATATATGTTTATTAAATTTAATTGATAAAATTTATATTGTATGATTTGATTATGAATTTATATTATACCCAACATATATATATTTAAATTTGTATTTATTTGTATAATAGAAAATTTTATTCTCTACAAAATAAAATATATATTGTATACATTTTTTCTCCTATAATTATAATAAATATTAAATTATATTTTAATTTTTTAAAAAGAAAAATTTAAAAAATCAAACCTGCAACTTGTCCGTGGAATGGTGGACAACCCCAAATTTGGGGTTGGAGAAATACACTAATTTATGTTGATCATAAATAAATGTTTTAATTTTTTTTATTTACTTTTATTATATAAAATTATATTCTTTACAAAATAATATATATAGTATATATTTTATTAAATTATACTTATTAAAATAATTAAAAAATTAATTTATCATATTTTTGCACATCATTTTGTAATTTTTTTTTAAAAAAAAAACAAAAAAAAAAAAAAAAAAAACAACAGAATCACCAATATTTGCAACCCTACACCCTACCCTGACACCCTATATAGTCAATGAGCTTGGTTTGGCGCTCAAACCGTTGTGCACAGCGATTGCACAGTAAGTTTGGCCAAACCAAGCCTGAAAAGCCAGACCCTTAACTTTTTTCACTTTGTCTAGTTCCAAAAATCAACATATGATCAACATAACGATAAATAATCACCATATTACAAGTGTGATCAAATATTGAAAATTGTAAATTCCTCAAATTTGGACAATTTTTCAAATTTAATTTTAGTGTCTCCCAATGTATCACTATCCATTGATCTTTCAAAATATCATATAAGATTTTCAGAAAAATGTATAAAATTGAAGTAGTGTAGGGAGAGAATTGAATTTTGCAAGGTAGAAACGGTTATGAATATACTTTGAGTTGCATATAATTGCTTTTCTTATATGATATTTTGATCTTATTAATATCTCGATTTTCACAAAATTCATACGATGATAAATAAAGTAATCCTCATAATTAAGATGAAAATTCGAGCATATAAAAATGTTGGGTCAATTTGGTGTATGTATGTAATTTTCAAAAAATCCAGATAATTTTACTTATTTTCACTCTGTATGTTATATCTGACAGGGATTGTACTTTTAGAAAAAGATGTCATTTAAATTTTGAATATAAAGGATACATCTTTTCTTGAAAACATATAACTTTAATTTTCAATTGATAAAACTCAATCTCTTAATTAGAGTTAAAATTCAAATTTAAAAATTTGAATTTAGAATATTTACCTTGGAATTAATTTAATTTAATTCCTAAAATGAAAATATAAATTTTTAAATATTAATTAAAATGAATTACAATATTTTTTAAAATTATTTACCTTTTTTCAGATGTCATATTGCAGTCATGATCATGATTAAAGAAGTATAATATTTTTGGAACTTTTGGGAAGTGAAGAGAATTTAAATTGAATTATCCTCTACTTAGTCATGGTCATGACAAAGTCATTGTGCATGTTATGTTAAAACTTATCAGTAATTACATCATAAGCCCAGGATATGCCACGTTCAAATGACTGAGATAATAAAAGAAAACTACTAAATATAACCCGCTTCCATTAGCGCTGTCGGATTCGGATCTACAAATTAACGGAAGATTTTGTATTCTTCAAGCCTATGACATAACCCCTCGTGAGAAAACCTCTAGTGTTTTTGTCATTACTTCCACGATGAGATATAAAAAGTAACAGATGTTGCGTCTAGACCTGAGATCACAACCCTAATATGTATACCTTATTATTAACCGGTCTCATAATCCAATTAATAAATTATCAGGTTTCATAGGAGTCCGCACTTAAGCCCAATAAATATAATAGATCACTTAATATGTACTTAATCTAACTTATAGCTAAAATAGTTACTTTTAACCTACAATTTGATTTTTAATTCAAAAATCTTCCACTTGGGTAAATGTATATTGTATAACCTTATGAGCTCATAAAAATTTTGCTATCAGATCATTTAATGTATTTTACCAATCTTATTTGTAAATCACATTAATGCGGATTAAAGCGGTCATCACTGCATTTATTACAATGGGACCGATCAATGGTCATAATATTAATACAACTTCAGATTCGATCAAGTGCGGATGCACAAATGAAAATCTCATTTAACGTCATCTTAACATGTCTATTTCCAGTTGATCTACCTTAACTTTAATTTAGAGTAACTGAATACTGAAAACTAAATACTAAACAGTGACTACTGAATCATGCAATATAAAATAAAGTAATTTTAATTGTGTTTGAACATTACTAATTAACTCATTTAGTACTCATTAGCAAGACCAATAAGATCAATATGTCTTCGAAAAGGTCTAAATTAAGTGACGTCAATTTAGCAGTAATATTGAACATATTTAAGATGCACTCCCTTCTTTTACATTTTCTGTTATACTTCATGTTAATGAGAATCTTAAGAGGAGTACTCATTTCCGCCTTATCACTTTTGGTAAAGCATTTCTTAATTTTGACAAGAAATCCCCTGGCAATAGCGATATCATTAGATATGGTATCCTGAAAGATTTGTGGAGTGCTTTCTTAATGATTATCAAACTTAGACGATTGGACCTATCTCACTTCTCAAATAATTGTTTTACATTTGTAGTGTTTTTCGTCGTATTAGTGAGACGGTATATTCTTAACACCAAGTCAAAATCTATACAACGAAATGACTTCATTATTATTACTATTTTTTTTTTATTGACAATGGTGAACCAGAATGTTATGCAAAGTCCAAACCTGGTCATGAAGTTGAGAAATGGAAACTTTTTATGGATGATTAGATGAACTCTCTCATAACCAACCAGACATAAGAGTTGAGTGGACATCCGAAGGAAAAAAATTTTCAATAACAAGTAAGTCTATAGGATTAAAGAAAAAAAATATTGGAGTAAGCGAGACAAGGCCAAATTGGTAGTGAATGGATATGAACTAAGATATGGCATCAACTAAATTGATGTGTTCACACCTATTTTGAAGCTGACAATAATCTGATTGGTCTTGGGCATGGTAGCATCCGAGAAATTAGTGCTAGAATAGTTAGATGTCAAGACAAATTTCTTTTGTGACGACTTGGATGAGGAGATATACACAATGCAACCAAAAGGATATGCAGCTGAGGGACAAGGGAGCTTGGTATGCAGGTTGACAATGAGCTTATATGGTCTTAAGCAAGCAGCGTGACGAATTCATACATGCGATTGGCTTCAGAAAATTGAATGCCAACCACTTCTGCTAATTAAAGAGTTTTGAGGGTTCATATATAATACTTTTCTTATATGTGGATGACATGTTATTGACAAGAACTTGTGCTCGAGAGATTGTAAAGTTGAAGCACCAATTGGTGGAAAGATTTTCAATGAAGGATCTTGGATAGACGAAACATATTTTGGGCATGGAAATAACTCAAGACTAAGATAATGGGAGGTTGAGTCTCTTGCAAGAAGAATATATAAAGAAAGCCTTGAGGAGGTTCAACATGCAGGATGAAAAGTCCGTTAGAACAAATTTAGGGAGTCACTTCAAGTTGTTTAACAAGAACTCACCAAGGAATGAGTCAGTACGTGCTGCCATAGGAAGCTTAATGTACGCAATGATTGGTACTAGTCCGGATATAGCACATGCAATTGGACTATGAGCAAATTTATGAGCAATCCTGGAAGGTAATATTGCCAAAAAGTGAAGTGGATACTGAGGCATTTACGAGGCACTACAGATAAGACACCGATCTTCGACAAAATGGAGCCTTGCGTGGTTGGGTTTGTGGATGCTGACTTAGAAGGTGAAAAAGGTGGTTGCTTTATCGATGACAAAAACTGAGTATATTGCACTAACGGAGGCTATCAAAGAGATGGTTTGGCTGCAAAATTTCATGCTTGAGTTGGGAAAAAAAATCCAAAAAATAGTATCATTTATAGCAACAATCATGGCACAATTCACTTGGCAAAGAACCTTGCATTCCATGCAAGAACGAAACATATTGAGGGGATGTTTCACTGCATTCAAGTTATTAGAGAGGGAGATTCTAAAATTTGAGAAAGTTTAAGGATCGAAAAATCCAACATACATGTTGACTAAGTTGGTAACCTTAGATAAATTGAGATTGAGGAGCAGGTTGTGCCTCCTATTGAGGAGCGAGTTATAGATGACACTACAGAGCCTGTACAGACAAGTCGTAGGAGACGCAGACGTAGAAGGCGTAGACGTGGACAAGGTCAGCCTGTAGTTGAGAGAGTTCTCTCATATGCTATTCGGATTACTGCTCCGGATGCTAGTTTGGTTGAGTCTGATGTTTTTTAGAGGGTTCTCACCCTCGCGGGATCGCGACCCTTTGTCCCGGCCATTGTAGCACGTGTGTCGCCCAGGGCATAAGGGGCATGATGACTTGACGTCATCTTCACCTTCCTCCGGCTTATCATCGGCAGTCTGAACCTTAGTAGGGCTTGACATGCCGCGAACCCTCTTGAAAGAGAGGGGTGCCTCTTTCGTCTGGTATTTAGGTTACGGCTCCGAGTGTTAGGTTGGAATCAGATGGTTTTGCTGAGGGATTGCTTTCATCGGGCATTCGGGTTACTGCTCCGGATGCTAATTTGGTTAACTCTGATAGTGTTGATTCTTCTACTATTGTTGTCCAGGATCAGTCCATTGTTGAGATTCCATCAGAGTTTGAGGAGGTGATTCGGGTTTCGAGATCCCCGATTATAGGGAGCCCTGTGGTACAATAGAAGTTGCCTTTTCGTCAGGATAGGGGGAAGGCAGCGATGGTTGATGATACTCCGGAGACTTCATGCAGAGCTTACTTGGGGGATGTTAGTAGATTAGATTCTTGTCGGGAGCCGAGTTCTCCATTTTTTGACATAGAGTTGGATGATTCGCCGCTTATCAAGGATGGTACTCCGCCGTCTTTGATTGATACACTGGCCCTTTCCCCTCGAGGAGAGCTTTCAAGGGTCTTTACTTCCTCCCGGGGGAGCTCAGGAACTTCATTGGGAGTCAATGTTGATGTTTCTATCATTGAAGAATTGATATTGTTACTTCCTAATGTTTATGTTGGTGTTGATGAATTGTTAATGTTATTGTTGCCGTTGTTTTGTTTTTATATTGTTGTTTCAGTTTGAATTCTTGTTAAATGGTTGATGTTTATATTTGTCCCTTAGTTATGTTGTTTGGGTACTTTTCCAATCCTCAATAACTTTTTATTGGATTCTTCTAGGTAAATAAAAATTTTCTACTTTTTGGATTTGTTTCATGTTAAGTTTAGTTGGGTTTCCGGTGACTTGAAACTAAATCAGGTTGCCCTGAACTCGACCTGAAAAAAATTCATATCGTGTTCGAGTCTAAATTTTCTGATCAAATTCAGTCAGATTGTGTTTAGGTCAACAGTTTTTTTGTTACACTCATAGCTCAACCCGCCACAAACACAAATTGACACCCCAAGCTAAAAATATGTTATTTTGTAGTCCAAAATATAAGCCCAAATAATTAGGTCAAATATATATATATATATATGTGTGTGTGTGTTTGTGTGTGATTGAATGTAGTATTGTAAGATAAATGAAGCCACCACTTGTCGTCAAAGAATAGCTGCCAAGAATTAAAAACCACAGCAGCTGCCATTGATCAATAATAAGATGTTGATGATGGGATGAATTTGAGGGAGGGCTGCAGCAAAGAAGAAGAAGCACAATCCCGCTGCCAATGTCGCACAATTTGTTTGGGTGCTGAGTCATTTGTGTTTTGTAAAATTCTTGGGGTCCGTTTGTTAATTTGAAATTACAAGAGAAAATTTTGATTACTTATGTGTATTTCTTTTGATTGGAATGTAAACTTGTATCTCCTTATTCTTGTACGTACTTTCGCATTGAAAATTTTATCGCATTTTTCCGGTCGATTTCACGACAATTTATATTACGATCTAATTGTCACAATTTAATCACCACGGTACTGAATTCACCGTACCTTGGGTTGATAAAACTATTTATGTTTCAGAATTTGAAGTTATAAAATAAAATACCGATATAATTTTTATAGTTTATTTAATATGCATTATTCATAATTTTTATTGTTTATACTACCCGTCCCATAAAAGGTGTTATTGGCTTTTTGCATGTAGATCTTTAAATACTAATTATTATATAATATGTATGTACAACTTAAGAGAAAATTACAAAAATATATCTATTAGTCTCTTATAATACAAATAATGATATTTATGAAGTAAATTATACACGTAAAAATATTTTTAATGTAAAGCATGAGACAAACGACACAATTCTTATAAAACGGAGATAGTATATTATTTTCCTTACAAAATATCATATTCAAATTATTATTTAAATAAAATTTAAAATTATGATACAAAGAAAAATATATGTATGATTTTAATTTGAATTATAACTTTTTTAATTTAAATGACATTTTATGACATAAAATAATATATTTTTAATGTGAACCATAAAGATATTTGAATAGTGATTATTTTAATTTTCAAAAATAAAAACTCTTAAGTTTGTTTACGGGTGTTCAACTTGAAATATATATATTATTTTTTGTTTCAAAAAATATCAAAGCAAAACTTATTTTATTTTTTATATTACTCTAAAAATTAATTTTATATTAAAAAAAATTATATTAACAAATATTTATATCATATTAACTAATTATTACAACTCAAAAATACTAAACTCAACTAGGCAACTCGAAAAAAACACAAAGATTAGGGTTTTTTTTGGATTTTCAGCCCTAATTTTCTTTTAATTTTTATATTACTTAAAAAAAATTTATATTTAAAAATCACATCAGATTTTTTACATATCAAATAATTATTTATATTCAAAATTTATTATTCAAAATTTGAATTGCCAACTCCCCAACCCACAAACACCCATCATTACTCTCCATGATATATATATACATATATATATATATATATATATTTATATTCCTCTACTAAGAAAAGAAATCTGTTGTCTGGTAACAATTAGGGGTTACAGCTGATGTGCTTAACATTTCTGAGGTATTCCCCAAAAAGAAAAGATCCAAAAGGGAAGATGACAAACTTTAGTATGTGGGGTTGTCATGTGCAATAAAAATATATCTTGGCCTAATTCTTACCTAAAAATATTTGTGGCCAAGTGATACTGTGAAGTGAAGAAATTAAAGCAAGACATATATAGTCCAGATTCAATGGACCTGCAAAAGATCTCCTAATTATAAATTCCCACAGAAACAAAGCTTCAAGAAAGGTCTCTTACACTTTCCCTTCTCCTTCTCTTCATGGAACAATGAAGCCTGCAACAATTTTTACAAGGTACTTTTTATACTTACAAATGTGAATTCAATGTGTGTGTATATATAAGTAAAGAAAGATATACGAGCAATTTGCCTAGTGTGACTTACCTGTCGGGCTTAGTTTGTAGATTATTAGGTTCAACCGGAAGTTTACCCGGTACGCACTTTCGGGTAGCGACCGCAGGTTCTTATATCATATTTTTTTTAAAAAAAAAAAGATATAGGAGCGATTCGAGCTAATGTTGATTTTGTTCAATAGGCTAAAAATTCATACTAAATTTGTTTATATAAATGAGTGACAGGTTTGTGCTTAAATATATATTTAATATGATATGTTATAAGGTAAATTGATTAATATATATATATATGTGTGTACAAAGAAGCACAAGTAGACAAACTCCAACATTGTTAGTTCAAAATTTCTAAGGGTGTGTTTGGTTGTATGATTGAGAATTGGGATCGAAATTGAAACCCATAAAAATTTGAATTGAATTAGTTATGTGATGTGACGTAAATAGAGATTAACGTCATTTTTTGGTATTATATAATAAATAAGTATTTATTTACGAAATCTGTCTAAAAATATTGACTAATTCATATATGTATGATAACTGATGTGTTATTTTTCTGTAAAAATTTGGCAGCGAAGCAATTGAAGAGAAGAATGAGGGAAAAGCATTTTTAATTTAATCCCTATAGTATGCAGAAGCATTATTTTACACTCCCATGTTTGGAGAATTTACCTAAGACACCATTTCTGTCTATGTTGAGACTAAGACATTAAACATGTGTATTCATTAATGAGTTCCCCTGAAAACTTCATTGTTAATAATATTTATATTTATTATTATTATTATTATTATTATTATATTTTGTGTCTTTGTTTACACGAGAATGCAACAGCTGCGTTAAAAATACAAGAAACCAATTACGGCTTTCTTTATTGTTGTACAGGGAAATGATAACAATAAGAATTAACCTAAGCGACAAAGAAATGTTCCTTTGGTTTTTATTTCAATTATTTTACTTTTCAGATTCTAAGTTTTCTATTACAATATATATATATATATATATATATTTTTAATACTCTCTCCGTTTCGAAACTAAGTATCAATTTACTTTTTGCACGTAATTTTAAAAATATTAGTATTATATTGGGATAAAGTAGGAATTAAGTAGAAATGACTAAAATAATATTATTAGTACGTGTGATATAAATATAATGACATTTGTGTAATATATTGTAAGTTGTAAGGGTATTTGTAATGTTAGTAGATAGTACAGTTAGTAGATAGTACAGTTACTAAAAAAATAAAATGAATATTTTGTTATGGGACATACTAAAATGAAAAAATGAATTAGTTTATTATGGAATGGAGAGAGGGAGAGAGTAATCTTTTTATATAAGAACTCAAACTCTGAAGAAAAAAATAATAATAATAATAATAAAAGTCATGTTTATTAAGCTTATAGAATGTTCATACTATCCTCCCAATTTTATTTTCAACTTATGGAGTTTTCTAGTTCTTTCTTCAATAAATATATATATTCTTCGTTTCAAGATTATTGACTCATTTCATTAATGGTACGGTATTTAAGGTAATAATATTTTAATTAAGTGATAATAGTGAATTATTATATTATTTTATTATTTTTATATAATTAATAATATTGATGAGTTTAAAATAAATTTAATATATATGATTAAAAAAATTAGAATATATATTCAAATATTTTAAAAATAATATCACAATAAAAACATATATGCAATATGAATATAATTTTGTAGAAAATAAAATTTCTTACAATACAAAAGTAAATAAAAAAAAATATATGTTATTTATTTATAATAAACATAAACTAATTTAATAATATCTAGTTTTAAATGCAGATAAAAATATTTGTTTTTTTTTTAGAGAGATAGAAATAAAACAATTAGAGGTTTTGCGTGGGTCCAACATGATGTATGATGGTATATGTTACGTAGTTAATTAAGTTAATCTATATTTGTTAAGTATATTTAGATTTAGAGGGTGTTTGGCAAAGAGCTTTTCGAATAGCTTTTAGTTTATTGAACAACTTTTAGCCGTTTGACCACTAAAACGACTAATTTAGGTATTTGGTAAATTAGATTTTTGGAATAATATTTGAAAAGCTAACTTACCCAGCGTTTGGAAATGGCTTTTTCAATCTAAATTTTTTTATTCTTTAATTGCCCTTAAAAACTTATTATGCATTTTACGCAAATAAATATATTTTTATTATTTATTAATTATATTATAATATTTTATTATATTATAGTTTTACTTTTATAAATTTAAAATAATTATTTTTTATATACAAATTATTTTAATTGTAAAATATATAAACTTATTAAAAATCAACCCAAAATAGAAAATATAAATATTAATAATTATTTTATATTAAAATTACATTATATAAATTTTATACTAAAAATAAATTAAATAAATTAAATTTATTAAAAATTATAAATATAATGAACTAATCGATAATTAAAATAAGAAATATATACATGAAAAAATTATTATTTTATATTTACATAATAGAAAAACCTATTTATATTTTCAATAAAAAATATTATTTTTTAAATCTAACTATAATAAAAATAAAGACTATTCCATTTTATAATTTTCAATAATTAATAACAAAAAATTTCAAACATTCTAAATTCAAAAGAACACAATTGAATATATTAGAAAAATAAAAAATAAAACAGTTATTTTACCAAAATTTTAATACAAACAACTAATTGAATCAACTAGTCAAACCAGCTAATTGAATCGGCTAATAGCTATCAACTAATTGAATCAGCTGACAGCTATTGTTGGGGTGAGAATAAGTGTTGCACCAATAAATTATCGTACACTTATTCAAATAGGCCAACTCCCGAAGTGTAGTTATATCACAGTTATAACGGCGACTTATTATTGAAATAAATACAGGGATTTCAAAACAATAAATGACAAGTTATTTGTTTACCCGGTTCGGATATAAATCATCCTACATCCGAGGGATACCAATCCAAGAGAAGTTCATTAACCAATGCTGATTAAGAACAAAACACCCAAACCTCCTTCAACCCAACTACAATCTAATTACCTAGGAAATTCCCTCCACATGCATAAGTTGTTACAAACGCGTACTAACAACTAACACATAGTTGAGTTGCTCAAATTTTGGACGTTCCCCTTATCAGAACTCCAATCTCCTTTCGACCAACGTACTTCTCCGGTATGATAATAGCGTAAATCACTCACTTAGTGCATGGAGATGGGAAGGGAAGAGGTTGAGAGGATTGATACAATATTTCTCTTACTACACACTCTCTCAAAACTACTATTTCTTCCATTCCCACTAGTCTCAAGCTGTGTTAAGCAACAACAGCAGCCATGAGTTGACAAGCAATAAATTCACTTTGATACAAATAAGGAATGGTGTTGTATCTAATCAATTCTGATCACAAAATGACAAATTCGAGATATTCATTTTGTCTTGAGCAGCCACCATTCAAGGAATGACAAAAGGCTACTTGATTGGACTGCACCAGCAGAGTCCAGAGTTGTTGTTTTTGGAAACCAACAACCACAACAGAGAAAGAGGTTTTGTCAATATGCCAAAAATAGATGTTGGGGTTTTTGATCAACTTAACAATCTTCTCCTTTTTGGCATATGTGACAATGTGACCACACACACAATGCAGGAGATGATCTCCCACCCTCAGCAATTAATCCATAATTAAAAGCAAGTAAAGGTTAGGTTACAGGCCATCAATCCAAATAAGGCTATAGGCAGCCTATACAAAACAGAATTTTAAGACAACCAAGGTTCTAGCAAACAGAGAGCCAAAAAACAACAACGGTAACAGGCATGCAAAAACAACTCCCCCTTTCTCTTGTGATGCAGCATTCCCCCCTCTCTCCTGCATCTCTCCCCTTTGCGTGAAGCAGATGCCAAAAAAGACTGGGAAGCTTAGAGAAAGTCTGGGAGGTCGTCCTCCTTAGGACCGGATACGAACTTGGGTGAAGGTGGAGAGCACGAATGATCTTTTTCCTGTGTTCTCCCAATGTTGAACGGATTGAAACTTGTTCCTGCAGCACTTCCAGAAGCAACCTACGTGCTTCCCGAAGCTGTCCCGACGGATCAGCTGGAAGAGGCTCTTTGAAGTCATTAAAAAGTTTCTGTAAAGTTGATCGTGGCTTGAAGAAGCTGGTTTAATGGTGTCTTCAGAGGGCTCCAACAGAATGCCATTTTCTTTCAACAGTAGAGTGATAAGAGCAGGATATGGAAGATTTCTCTTATCAAACGACTTCCCTCGAGCATACTTCACCATCTTGGACAGAATAACAAAGCCAAAATTGATATCAATACAAAATTTAACAATGCAGAGGAGTAATTTACCCATTTTGTATCCAATGTTTATCCTGTTACTCGTGGGAAGAACATTCATCGCGCATAAGCGAAAGAGGCATTGATACTTCATTGTAAGTTCGGTAGCAGCCAAGCCTGCTCGACCGAAGGGCAATCTCTCATTTTGATTCTCTGAGCAAGGCAGAAAGAAATTCTTCGGGATTGTCATTCGGGAGCTTCAACAGATTGTTGATCACCTGGGGGCTAAGCTCAATCACCTTCCCTCGAACATAGGCTTTGTGAAACCAGGGGTTTTCTTCATTCAAAACATCCCGATAGAGATTAGCGTAGAATTCTCTAACCAACTTTGGACAATATCGTTTGAGCGACACTGCCCAGTGGCGCAGACCTTTCATCCTTAGGAATGCAAGAAAACCAACATCTTTGTGAATCGGATCAGTAAAACATGCCTTTAGGATCCGATTGGCCAACACATCGTACTCGAACAATTCTGCAGCATCGTCAAAATGGGTTGCATCCATTGCTTCTTCAGCTGTGATCGGTGGAGGTCTAACCTTGCGCTTGCGAGATTTGGATTTCTTACTTATGTCCCTTCTTGGAAGTAACTTGCTTGATTCTTTTTCTTGAGGAGCTGGGAGTATCAACAGAAGCCTTCCTTTTCTTGCTTTGTCTTTTGGCATGACGTTTCTTCAGTCGAGCAAGAGGAGAATTGTCTGAATCATCAGACTTTGTTTCCGTTGGTTGTGATACCGGCGTGATAACAGTGTTTTCATGTTCCATCCTCTTATAAAAGAGTTTATCAACTGTTTTGTCAATGATCGTATTCAGACTTTCATCGGAGGGAGAATGAGGAAGATCAGTAGTGGCGCCTTCAAGTTCACTGGCTGGTTCCTCAAGATGAATGAGAGGAACAACTGATTCAGTCCTCTGTTCTGCAGAATCAGGGGCTTCTTCAGAATGCACCAAGGCCTCTTCATCAACATTACGGGTTTCAGGTTCAGCAACCCCTTGTTTCTTTCCCACATCTTCTTCCTCATCGTGATCAGTCTCAGGTTCTCCAAAAATGCCATTCTCAGGGCCTCCAACTTGTGTTTCTTCGAGGGTTTTTTGAACATTCTCTTCAGCTTCATCCAAATGATCTCCAGGAGAGTGAGGAGTCTCAATGTCAGTAACTGCAACCTGAACTTCCACGTTTGCTTCAGGCGGTGTTGGAATCTCACGAGGTGGTTCAGCAACAACTAGAGAAGCAGGCGATTCACTGAGAGGAGGAGAAGAACTGATTCTGAAGAACAGAGGACTGAAGCAGTTGTTCCTCCCATTCATCTTTAGGAACTAGCCATTGAACTTGAAGGTGCCACTGCTGATCCTCCCCATTCTCCCTCCGATGAAAGTCTGAATACAATTATTGACAGAACAATTGATAAACTCTTTTATGAGAGGATGGAACATGAAAACACTGTTACCACGACGGTATCACAACCAGCGGAAACAAAAACTGATGATTCAGACAATGCTCTTCTTGCCTGACTGAAGAAACGTCATACCGAAAGACAGAGCAAGAAAAGGAAGGCTTCTGTTGATACTCCCAGGTCCTCAAGAAAAAGAATCAAGCAAGTTACTTCCAAGAAGGGACATAAGTCAAAGAAATCCAAATCTCGCAAGCGCAAGGTCAAACCTCCACCAATCACAGCTGAAGAAGCAATGGATGCAATCCATTTTGACGATGCTGCGGAATTGTTCGAGTACGATGTGTTGGCCAATCGGAAGCTGGTCCCAGAGGCACGGTTTACTGATCCAATTCACAAAGATGTTGGTTTTATTGCATTCCTAAGGATGAAAGGTCTGCGCCACTGGGTAGTGTCGCTCAAACGATATTGTCCAAAGTTGATCAGAGAATTCTACGCCAATCTCTCTCGGGATGTTTTGAATGAAGAAAACCCTTGGTTTGACAAAGCCTATGTTCGAGGGAAGGCAATTGAGCTTAGTCCCCAGGTGATCAACAATCTGTTGAAGCTCCCGAATGACAATCCCGAAGAATTTCCTTCTGCTCTGCTCAGAGAATCAAAATGAGAGGTTGCCCTACGGTTGTCTGCATGGAAATCCGATGATTTCGGTCGAGCAGGCTTGGCTGCTACCAAACTTACAATGAAGTATCAATGCCTCTTTCGCTTATGCGCGATGAATGCTCTTCCCACGAGTAACAAGACAAATATTGGATACAAAATGGGTAAATTACTCCTCTGCATTGATAAATTTTGTACTGATATCAATTTTGGCTTTGTTATTCTGTCCAAGATGGTGAAGTATGCTCGAGGGAAGTCGTTTGATAAGACAAATCTTCCATATCCTGTTCTTATCACTTTGCTGTTGAAAGAAAATGGCATTCTGCCGGAGCCCTCTAAAGACACCATTGAAACCAGCTTCTTCAAGCCACGATCAAATTTACAGAATCTTTTTAATGACTTCAAAGAGCCCTTTCCAGCTAATCCGTTGGGACAGCTTCTGGAAGCACATAGGTTGCTTCCAGAAGTGCTGCAGGAACAAGTTTCAATCCGTTCAACCTTGGGAGAACACAGGAAAAAGATCATTCGTGCTCTCCACCTTCACCCCAAGTTTGCATCCGGTCCTGAGGAGGACGACCTCCCAGACTTTCTCTAAGCTTCCCAACCTTTTTTTTGGCATCTGCTCCACGCAAGGGGGAGAGATGCAGGAGAGGGGGGTATGCTACATCACAGGAGAAATGGGGAGTTGCTTTTGCATGCCTGTTACCGTTGTTGTTTTTGGAAACCAACGACCACAACAGAGAAAGAGATTTTGTCAATATGACAAAAATAGATGTTGGGGTATTTGATCAACTTAACTATCAGCTTATTGTCAAATACATCATTCGTAAATTCTAACAAAAATAGAAAAACATCAATTATTATGAAATAAATAAAAATAAAAAATGTGTTAATTATTTGGGGACGGGGGAGTATATATATTTCATTTGTTTCTCTACTCACAAATTAGTCACGATAGGTTTAATTATTATTGCTCTAGTGAACAAAAATATTACATTGATATATACATGGATCCGTTATGTAACATGGTTAAATATAAATAAATAAATAAAATAAAATAAACGACATATTTTTCATTTGAAAATTCGAATATTCAATTTTTTCGATAGCTTGAGAAAATCGATCGGAAAATGGATAAAAATGTCCCTTATTCAATTTTTTCGATAGCTTGAGAAAACCAATCGGAAAATAGGTAAAAATGTCCCTTAGTATACTCCAAAAAGCCCTTAGATAAAGGTATATTTTGTATCTTGCGGAAAATAAGATTAACTGAAATTTGTGTGCAAATACTAAACAAACACACTCAATGTCTGCAAACATTTATTAGGCAATTCAACTATTAATAGTCTCGGACTGGATTCGGGCATCCTTCTTAATCTATAATTCAAGTCCGGCCTGAATACCACTAGAAAAAAAAATTATTTTTGTAACAAAATATTTTTGTCTCTAATTCCGTTACTAATGACATTAGAGACGGAATTAGGAATGAAATTACGTTAGCTACGTGAATTTTAGTTACGAAATTCTGTTACAAATATATTATTTTTTTGTAGTGTACTGAGACCGTTGGATGGGATGATAGATAAACGGATGAGATTGTGTAAATGGATATATATATATATATATATATATATGTAATTTGTTTTATGGCTTATGGTATATTCCTGGTGTTATATTGCATTCATGATCCTAATTTTATTTTGTCTATCAGATCATTTTATTGGTAATAACGGTTAATATAAATTGAGGATATTTTAGGTATTTAAAAAAAAATAATTGAATGGTAACTAAATAAGAAAAATTAAATACATTAACTAGATATGTTATATTTAAAAACATAAATCTACTCAAAATTTGAAAACGTCTACAATTTGTTATTTTTTAAATCCGTACATATTAAAAAAAAATGTAACAATGTATAGATTTGTTGTTTATGTTATCATTGTAACACTATTATAATGTTTTGCGACAAACTACACAATAGTGTATGTCAGTTTTGAAATGATGTTCATATAATTACAATACGATACAATATTTTCAACCCATGAAATATTCATTTTAATGGGTAAATTTGACCTTTTTATTTTGTAAAATACAAGATATATTCATTCATTTAATCGAACCGCAATCAACAAAATTATTATTGAAAAACATTAATCAACCTATTTCATGAACTAACCTAATTTTTAATTTTACTTTGTCATTGTACATATTAAATAATTAGTGTTTTTAAATATGTTTTACAAGTACTTTGAAATATATATTTTGTTAATTCTAAAATAGTAATACATATATATATTAATATAAATAGATATTGGATATGATATTTTAAGATAGAATTTAATAAAATAATTTTAAAGAAAAATAAAAATTTAATTTTATATAAATTTATAAGGAGACGAGACTAATATTATAATGCAAAGGTAAACTTGAAACATATAGTAAAGAGATGCTTAGTTTTAGTTGAATAATCGGTTAATTATTTAATCGATAGAATCTAATTTATAAATTAAATTCATAAATTTTAAAATCGATTATTCAGTGAGTTGAAATGCATATGGGTTGGATGAGGCATATGAATGCCGGTGGGCGACAGGCGCACGCCGCTCTTCCGAACCATTATTGGTCGTGAGTTATAACTTGGGCTTGGTAAATATTAGACTTAACGAAGCCTATATTGCTCCGGAGCTTGCTCGGAACAACAAAATATTTTTATTTTAATCGAAGTCCAAGAAAATAACATTACAATATAAGCAAAACAATGCATGCATTTAAAAGACTCACTATAGGTGCATGGACATGCATATCTGTACATATATATTTGCATGAAATATGACTTTAAATTGCATAAATTAGTGTGGACATGCCTGCACGGTTACTTACATACATGCATTAACATTAAATGCAATTACAAATTATAATGCATTAAAGTTGGATATTGATCATGCAATAACTTTCATGATTTTGAAATTTTGAATACACACAATTGAATTGGTGGCCATTAGTCAAATTTAATTTGAATTAAAGTTGGATAATGACCATGCACCAAATTACATGATTTTGAAATTTTGAATACACATGATTGAATAATGGCTATTACTCAAATTTAATTTGAAGATTACTTTAAAAATCAAACGTCGGTTTTCAAAGGAGTTAGTAATTCCTTGCCCGTGTGGTTTGCCTATAAAAATGGTGCTCATTCTTCCTTTTTACATAAACAACAATTATTCATCTCCTCTCTCTAATATGTATTATTTCTGGTGATATTTCCAGTGTGTTTCCAATCGATATTCTGGTATCATTCGACCTATTTGTTTCCTTCATTTCCAAGCCTTCCGACATGGTATTAGTTCACCTCATTTTAGATCGCCGGAGCTCCGAAATATTGGGGTGTCACCTAATTAGGAGACGAATTTTATCTTTGAGAACATTGTGCCACAAACCGGAGGCACTACCAAGGCATATTCGTTTTTACAGAAAGAAGTTCTACCTCGACTCGACGTGATTATCAAATTAATTCAATAAATTGATTATTGAAATTTATTTCAATAAATTATTGTGATTATCGAATTTATTTCGGTAAAAATTATTGTGATATCGAATTTATTTTGATAATTGTATTCTTGCAATATAATTATTTTTATATTTACAACAATCGTAAAAATGAATATTTTGTAGATATATTGCAAGAATGGCGGCCAACGATCACGAAGATGACATCATGAATGTTGTCGGAAATCCGATCGTGTCAACGGCCGGAGTCGACCTCGTTGAACTATCGACTAAGGATATTGTGAATAACATAGTGTCAAGTGCTGCTATAGCTGGGATTCCTGGTGCCGGCTCTACACCGACGTACACTAGACCAACTGCCAGGTTCGCAGGGTTTGCTCCTGGAGGCTTCGGAGGATTCCCCAGATTTGTTGTTGCACTCTCTGTAGCTTTTCCACTGCAAAATACAGCGTTTGCGGCCTAGTCCCAGCAACTTCGGGATATGCTCCGCACATGATGCCCCAGGTGCCGGTTCCCCAACCGTTCATAGGGATGGACTTCAAACAATGGCAAAAGAAAATGTTGTTTTATTTAACATCCGTAGAATTTGCATTGTTCGTGCTACGGAACGACCCAACCGAACCAGAGCCAAATGCTAACTATCAAACACTCGCCAACTGTGCGTCATTGGCTCATGGTGATTACATGACATGTAACACCATACTCGGTAGTCTTACTAGTTTTCTATACAATGTTTATTGTTAAATAAAGACTGCTAAAGGGTTGTAGGAAGCCCTGGAGAAAAAATACAAGTCCGAAAATATCGGGTCAAAAATGTTTGCCGTTGCTCAGTTCATGGATTACAAAATGGTAGATGGTCGGTCTGTTGTTGAACATGTGGAAGAATTTCAAAATATCGTCCATTCTGTCGTCGACGAGGACACGAGCTGCCAGAGAAATTCATCACGAGCGTGATGATAGGGTAGGTAAAAAAAAAAAAAACTGTTACAAAATGATTATTATTTATTAAACTATAGATAATAATAATAATAATAAAAAAAAAAAACAGTTACATTATGCTCGTAAGCTGTTTGACGGGTGCCTACAACAACCGGAGAGTGGATAGGCTGATTGCGATAAGCACGTGGACAAGCACATTCAGGACGTCGATGATTATGTTTAGAATATTGATGAGTGTATTAGCCATGGACCAGAAGGTACATTCTTGTAGATAAGAACTTATCAATTATGGACAAGCTCCATTGAGTCAAAGTTACATGATATACGTTTTTCTTATTTTCACTTAAATTTTTGTTGTGTGGAATTGATATGTCATACCTATTTTTTCAGTTAAACAGTTTGCATTTTTAGTTGACTTCTATTTACATATCCAGTACCTTAAGATTTTATATTTCGGATAGACTTGTATTTACGATGATAATAGATCGAATTTCTTTGACTTGCATTTATCATTTCGTCAGCAATGAAAGAAATTACTTTTCAATTTAGTGTGATTTGAAATTTATTTGGTTTAGATTTTGATAGGAATGGTAGTTATAGTATTATTTGCGATGAAATTTTCTATGAATGTAATTTGTTGCAAAATATAACTAACAATTTTTTTTCATTTTGCTATGGAAAAATTCATCACAAATTCCATCGCTACTGGTTTTTGGAACCGAAAAAATTAGTTTTGAGACAATTTTCTGTCACAAAAATTCTAATTTTTTGTAATATTGGGCAAATATATATTGAAACCAGCCATTATATTCTTGAGCTCGAGTATCAAAGAACTCCACATTCACATGTATAGTGAAGTGAAATATGCATCTTAATCCATCGTAATCCAAAATATTTCTTGCCGTATTTAACTTTTTCATAACAATCGAAAATAACTCAAATCAAATGACTACAAAATCAAATAATACAAACGATACTAACCAAGGACCATGAAGCTTATGCTTCCCCTGAGTGATGGTTTAGTTAATTTGTCAAACTTCTTGTACTCTTTATCATTGACCACCACAACATTAGGAAAACTTTCGATACAATGCGTCAAATGTAGATTCCCAATCATGGGGTCTTGGCTTTTCACAACCAATGCTTTTGGGTTTGACTATATTACAAGTTTGTTGTAAAATATACGGTAAAAATATAATAAATTTTTCATCTAAATTAATACGAAAGATTTAAGAAATATAATTTACGTGGTTTAAAATAAATTTCTACGTCTATTGGCAAAGACGATACTAATTCCGGTAACCAAATAGACTTCTCATATGAATATGTGGTATTTAGTAACAATGTTTGAATGGTAATTAATTAAGATAAAGTTAAATATGTTAACTAGATACATTATATTTGAAAACATAAATCTAGTCAAAATTTAAAAATGTCTGTAATTAGTTACTTTTCAAATCATACACATTAAAAATGTAACAATGTATAGATATGTTGTCATTGTAACACTATTATAACATTTTTATTTTCTAAATAGAAAGATATATTCATTGATTAAATATAACATTGTAAATATGAAATAATTAGAGTGTGAATTAATATAAATAGATAATGGATATGATTTTTTAAGATAGAAGTTTTATATAATATTTTAAATAAAAAATGAAAATTTAAATTTTATATAAATTTATAAGAGGAAGTGATGAATAATAATGCAAAGGTAAAGTTGAAACATATAGTAAAAAGATGCATAGTTTTTTCTTCTAAGTATAGAATTTATGTCCAAACCTTAAACTATAAGGACTCATTTTCAATAAATATTAGTGACGTTAAAGGTATTTCGTATTAGAGATTCATTCTTGACCGTCCAAATTCGCGGTCGAATTTTTTTTCTGGAAGATTTACAGCTTAACAGATTAATACAGAGTTATAATAATTTATTTTCTTTAGCAATAAAATATCATTTAAAATTCTAATCTATCTAACGATCATAATTATCATGTTTACGGTAGGATGTTGGTTAAGTTGTCAAAAATAGCATATAAAGTGACTATTCATATTTTATCATATGAATATATGAATAGACAATGTTTAGATGGTGTAAAGCAAATAAGTATTATATTTATTGAGTGTGATGCAAACTAATGGTATTCTAAAGTATAAGAGTGAGTTATTTTAGGTAGCAACAATATTATAAAAAAAAATATATTATATATACATAAACTCACATAATATATATTTACTCTACTCACTTAGAAATAAATCAATTATTTAATAAAATAATATTTTTTTATTTTTTTTATCATATATCAATATATTTTCTAAGACCTAATAAAAATGTTATTAATTCTACTTAAATGTCTAACTCCCAAGTTACTTTTTGTCGGCTGTTATTTACAATTTTGTTTCTTCCTAATTTCTTATTTATTTCATGTAACTTCCTAGTTATAAATTTATCGATAAATGTCTTATTTAACCTTTAAAATAATATAGTTACTTTTTTGCCATTATCCCCACATAATCTAAAATTTCTCATTCATCTATCATTCACATACGGATAATATTAGATACAACAATAAAAAAAATTATTTTCTACATATTTAAAGTACAATGTTTGACAATCTAAATATATCATTATTCTTCATTATTTTTTCTTATTTTTTTATTATTTTTTTTATGATAACTGGTGTTGAATCTCTCTCCAACAGTCGACGGCGACACAAATGTCAACTTAAACTACCATAGTCGAACACCAACTTTATGCATCGAATTCGAATCTACAACTAGGTGATTTCTAATATTGATTTGGATTCAACATCTAAACAAATATGACATATTTTAAGTTGATTGATAGTTAGTTATGTTTAATTTTTTGTATCAAGTCGATATGAATTTAATTGTTGTTTATACTTCAAAAAAATATTTTGTCAAATAAAGGTTTATACTTTTCGAATTCATTTAAAATATTTTTTTATGGTACATCTAATACTTTAAAAAATATTTTAAATATTTTTTTATTATTTTACATATATTTTATTCTATTGAGACTACTCCTTCCTTATAAATGTAAATATATATTGCATTGCGGTTTAAAGGTTGTACACAATTTTATTTTTATTTTTTTTACTTATTAGTGTGGATTTCATTATTGAATCAATTGAATTATTGTGTAATAATATTATCAAGAATGAGTGTTACATATTTATACAATTCCTTATAACACCTTAAATCCTAAGCAATTAATTCAACTGTATAAGTATACATAAACAATATATATTAATAAATTTATGAGGATTGTATTACAATATGGATTATCACAAAGTAACATTACATCGACTTGACAAAGATTTAGTTGTCGTTTGTATTTGAGAAATATATTTTATCAAATGAAGGTTTGTATTTTTTATATTTATTTTAAATAATTTTTATATGATGACCAATACTTTTATAAAATATTTCAAGTACTTAATTCGCTCTTTTATTCATACTTTCAAACTAGAGAAGTATTTTCTCTTGCATATTTTATTTACAATTCAACTGATATTTTTGGTATACAGAATCAATCTACATTTTTATTTTTACTTCCTACATTATGAAAAAAAAAAATACTTTAACAAATGTTATTGATATTTTTATATTTATTTTAGATAATTTTTTATATAACGACCAATATTCTTATAGAATATTCAAAGTTCTTATCGATACTTTATTCGACTAAAATTAATATTTTTTTATTAATATTATGTATTATGATGATATATAATCAGTTTTTATTTATTTATTTTGTATTATTAAACTTATTTTTTTCTAAATTGTTGTAAATTTATTTTAATTTTGGCTGTTTTTCTAAATTTTTTTAGGCAATTCGGTTGTTAATAGTTTCGGGCTATACACATCGAGGCCTTCATTATTTTTTTTTTTTTATTTTTGCTTCCAAACACTAGGTTTGTATTTTGGGGTTTTGGATTCTAAGAATAATAAATATTGGAATTGAAATATGATTTCATACGGTATAAATAAGTATTTAAAGTAGTATTTTTAATAAAAGATATTTGTGTGTAATATTTTTGTTAGATGTTGTAATAAACTTTTAGGTGAGATCGTCGTTTACTTCATCAATATGAGTTTGGTGGTGTTTATCCCAATATCTAACAATTTTAAATAAAAATTTGATTTATAAGCCAATATTTTTAATAGAAAAAATAATAATAAATAATGCTAGACCAGTTTGAAACTTCAACCTTATAAGTTTCACACCTCAGCAGCACCAAATACTTTGCTGATGGAATATTATACTTGCAACTATTCAGCATGGCAGGGATTCAACTCTATTCCACTAAAATTTAAAAGAATTCATTATTTAATTTTCAATAATGTTGATATTATTTAGGTAATTATATATTCTAACCTCTTGAAATAATTGTAGCTTTATATTTTTTAAATTGGAAAATTTTCTTAATTTTTATATTTTAGTTAATATGTTGGGTTAACATAAAAGACAAAGCTGAAATATACATTTATATATATATATATATATATATTTAACATCAGGAATAGCAATATATAATTACTTTAATCAAAGCATTACTTTAGGCCAAAAAATAATAAAAGAACGTCTTCTTGGCATAGTTGTCGTATAAGTCAAATAAGTGGTTGAAGTGCCAATGAGTATTTTGTATGGCTAGTGGAAGAAAATTTCAAAGACATGAAAACTGAGCCTCAAGCAAGTTTTGATGGTTTCAGAAATTTCACACAGATGATCAGGTAATTTATCTTCTTCTCCCCACATGAATTCTAGTTGTACAACTATGCTCTTG